CATGAGGGAGGGTGCTCCCAGTAGCAGTTCCCACACGTGAAAGTATAAGGTGCGTCGTGTCTTGTCTTGTGCGTGCGTGTGTGTTTTATCCTTTGAATTATAGTATGCAACGCAATTCATGACGTCCTCACCCAGAAAGGTTCAACTACTCACCCCAACAAGATTTCAAGTGTTCACACTTCCATCTAAAATTATAATGTTAATTGTTAAGATCCTAAGAGATAGCCTTCAGCTCTGGAATGGAAGGTTCAGAATCCTTAAAAAGCCCGTAAGATATGTTCATTTGTTTTGTTTTATCCTCTGAATCATAGTATGCAACGTAATTCAGGACGTCCTCACCCAGAAAGGTTCAACTACTCACCCCAACAAGATTTCAAGTGTTCACACTTCCATCTAAAATTATAATGTTAAGATCCTAAGAGATAGCCTTCAGCTCTGGAAGGGAAGGTTCAGAATCCTTAAAAAGCACGCAAGATATGTTCATTTGTTTTGTTTTATCCTTTGAATCATAGTATGCAACGCAATTCATGACGTCCTCACCCAGAAAGGTTCAACCACTCACCCCAACAAGATTTCAAGTGTTCACACTTCCATCTACAATTATAATGTTAAGATCCGAAGAGATAGCCTTCAGCTCCGGAATGGTAGGTTCAGAATCCTTAAAAGGCCCATAAGATATGTTCATTTGTTTTGTTTTATCCTTTGAATTATAGTATGCAACGCAATTCATGACGTCCTCACCCAGAAAGGTCCAACTACTCACCCCAACAAGATTTCAAGTGTTCATACTTCCATCTAAAATTATAATGTTAAGATCCTAAGAGATAGCCTTCAGCTCTGGAATCGAAGGTTCAGAATCCTTAAAAAGGACCCATAAGATATATTCATTTGTTTTCTTCCCCAGCACGCGCTCCATAGCCGTACTTGTTTTCCTTGTTGTCTTCCTGGCAAGTCAATAAGATTTTTTATTTTTTATTTTTTAACAAATTGTTGCTGCTTCCACTTCTATATATACGCACACAACGACTCACAAGCTAGTCAACAACAAAGGGAAAAGCAAAAGTAGAAAAAATGTTGAGAAACTCTCAGCTACCAACTCTCCACTCTGCAACATGCCTTTGCCTTCTCCCAAAACCGTCCCTCCGAAATGTCTTTGCCTTTACCCATGCAAACCCTGCAATCAATCGTAAAAAGTTTGCCAGATTTCCTGTATGTCCAATTGCTACCAGAGTTAAACCCGAACCCACATTAACAACGACAATTGATCAGAAAAAGAAAGAATATACAGTTACGGCAGTTGTGACAGTTAAAGATACAGATCATGGTTTATTCAATCCACTATATAACCTTACTGATATCTTTAGGAAACCCTTTGGTATTGATCTTGCTAGTGCAGAACTTGATCCTCGTAAGTTGAAGCATGAACATGCCCGTATTTCCTTTTGGTATTTAGTGAAAACTAGTTTCCAGTTTCAATTTTGTTTTCAAAATGTTGGCAGGTACAGGAAATGAGAAGGAAACTATCAAAGGGCATGCGCGTTTTGCAGGTTATAAAGCAAGAAAAGATCCAAATGATGACTCTCTTCTAATTTATGAGAGCAACTTGGTGGTGCCTGTAAGTTTTGGAGAGATTGGAGCAGTGTTTGTAAAGAATGAACACCCCTGCGAAATTTTCTTGAAGAAGATAGACCTTGAGGGCTTGCCCAATGCAAGTCTGTTCATTTTGGATGTAACTCATGGGTTCAACCGAAGCATCCCAAGAGAGTTTTCTTCAGCAACAAGGTGTATGCAAAGCAGGGTTAATTAAGTGGAACAGCATATCTTGATGTGTGTGTATATATATAATAATGTAAATGAATGTGTTTGATGTAACAGTCATACTTGCCATCGGAGACACCAAGTGGTTTGAAGAGGCTGAGGGAAGAGGAGCTGGTGGCTCTACGGGGTAATGGCAAGGGAGAACGCAAGCCACATGAGAGGATTTATGATTATGATGTATACAACGATCTTGGTGGAACAGCTCTGGGCGGCATGGAACACCCATACCCGAGGCGTTGCAGAACAGGGCGCTATGACAAAGGCTATGATGGTATGTTTGGTTTGAAAATGAAATTTAATTCATTTTTCACATTAGAATTCAATTTTTAAATGAATGAATGTGATGGTGCAGACCCAAAAAAGGAAGAAAGGGCTAAGGGTGACATCTATGTGCCGAGGGATGAGGCGTTCTCACCTGAGAAGAACGAATCATTCTCCAACAAGGAGAGGGTTGAGTTATTGCACTCATTGCTGCCTTTATTTGACGAAAGCAGTCATGTGGAGAATAGATTTCCTTATTTCACCAGCATAGACACACTCTATAATGAAAGTGCCCGGTTCAAAAGGAAAGCAGCAAAAATTCTGCCACAGATACTCGACTTTTTGAAGGACAAAGCAAGTGATATTCTTCAATTTGATACACCAGAAATGATTGACAGTACGTATGAAACCAAACCAAACCAAATTTTCAGTTTTGATAATCTCCTAAGGACATTTTAAAATGATTGCTTTTCTTCTACTTGCAGGAGATAAATTTGCTTGGTTCAGGGATGAGGAATTCTCTCGACAAACTCTTGCTGGCGTTAATCCCTCAAGCATAGAGCTCGTAACGGTATATTAATTATTTATATAATTTGTGATTAATATAATACTATTGGATACCATCAAACTAACAAATATTACTCGATACTGCAGGAATGGCCATTAAAAAGCAAACTTGATCCTAACATTTACGGCCCTCCTGAATCATTGATCCCGAAAGAATTAGTTGAAAAGAAGATTAAAGGCACAATGACAGTCGATGAGGTAAATGTTAAGGAACTAACTTAGGGGCAAAGAAAATATTAAGGACTGAAATGGATATTCCATACAAGTTAAGGACCATTTGTGGTTAAATGCAGGCCGTGAAACAGAAGAGGCTGTTTGTCTTGGATTGCGTTGATGTGTTCTTACCTTACGTGAACAAAGTAAGGGAGCTTGAAGGAACAACATTGTATGGATCTCGGACACTGTTCTTCTTGAATAAAAATGGAACACTGAGGCCAATTGCCATTGAACTTGTCCGGCCACCAAATTCAATTGACGATAAGCCGGGAAAGTGGGTTTTCCATCATAGCTGGGATGCCACTGGTTGTTGGAAGTGGAGGCTAGCTAAAGCTCATGTTGCAGCTCATGATTGTATTATTCATGAGATTCATCACCATTGGTAGGTGCAAACTAAACCACCGCCTGCCTTCATGTTCTCCAATTATAATCATAAACAAATTAATTTTTGGTTTTCTTGCAGGCTAAGAACTCATTGTGCCACTGAGCCATACATTATTGCAGCTAATAGGCAACTAAGCGCAATGCATCCAATCTACAGACTTTTACATCCACATTTCCGCTACAACATGGAAATTAATGCTATAGCACGAAGCAATCTTATAAATGCTGGTGGTGTCATTGAATCATGTTTCGCACCTGGAGAGTATTCTATGGAAATCAGTTCAGTTCTATATGACAAACTATGGCGCTTTGACATGGAAGGCTTACCTGCTGATCTTATTAGAAGGTATATCTATGGCTACCAAATCAATCATCTTTTCCTTCTTTTTATCTGAAAGTGCTAAGTAATTTGCTGTAATCGACATAATTCCAGGGGTATGGCAGTTGAGGATCCTTCAGAAAAGCATGGCCTTAAGCTAGCAATTGAAGACTATCCTTACGCCAATGATGGTCTCATCCTCTGGGATGCCATTAAGGAATGGGTTACTGACTATGTGAGCTACTACTACCCAGAACCAAGCCTAGTGGAATCTGATACTGAGCTCCAAGCTTTTTGGACAGAAGTAAGAACCAGAGGGCATGAAGACAAGAAGGATGAACCCTGGTGGCCTGTCCTAAAAACACCACAGGATTTAATCAGCATACTAACAACCATTATTTGGATAGCCTCAGGACACCATGCCGCAGTCAATTTTGGTCAGTATGCATTTGGTGGTTACTTTCCAAACCGCCCCTCAACAGCTAGAACAAACATCCTAGAGGAGGATGCATCAGAAAAAACTAAAAAGGAATTCATCAACACTCCGGAATTCACCTTGTTAAAATGTTTTCCATCCGAACTTCAAGCAATCACAGTGATAGCAACTCTGGATCTTTTATCTACACATTCCCCTGATGAGGAGTATATTGGTGGCAAACCTGAGCCATCTTGGGAAGAAGATCCTGTGATCAAGGCTGCTTTCGAACGCTTTCATGGAAAAATGAAGGATCTTGAAGCCTTAATCGAAAAGAGTAACAATAATCCGCATATGAGAAACAGAACAGGAGCTGGGGTTGTTCCCTATACCTTCTTGAAGCCATTTTCCGAACCTGGGGTCACAAGGAAGGGTGTTCCAAATAGCATTTCCATATAATAATGCCATGAATGATGTGTTTGTAATGTTTATATGTAACTACGTGCATGCCTAATTATGTGGCACGTATAATTAGGAACAGAGAATGCAATTGGGAAAGTATGCCTAAATGCAAGAAAAGAAGAGAAAATCCTAGAAAAGAATTACATGCCATCATATACTATTCTCACCATATGTAACACCTATTAATGAGGACGAATACTTTAAATGGTTTATAAATAAGGGACATGACCTTTGGTTCTTTGAAATCAAAGACGGTCACTAGTCAGTGTGGGCAATGAATTGCAGATTTGATGGAAAAGGGCATGTGCTCTCACATAACACTCAGAATAGAATTAATAATTAGATGGGAATTGATTGACAAAGGAATGTTTATACAAAAACATTTCAAAAACTGCAGCTCAAACTGTCAATCTTTCGCTGCTGCAATCTGCCTCTATGTTCCCACAGCAGTTAGTAACTATTTGCCTATTTCTTTCCTATTTCTCTCTCTCTCTCTCTCTCTCTCTCTCTCTCTCTCTTTCTTCATTTACATGATTGGGACTATACTGCTTACATTACCTACAAATGTACACTTGATCACCTTGACGACCCCTCAGCAGATGCAGGTGCTGAGTAGCGAACAGGCTGAAGGAACCTCCGCAGTCTAGCTGATCTTTTCTCGACTCGGAATGAATGCATTCCAGCTATTTTTGGGAATGATATCTTCTACCGTTTAAGCATGCAATGGAATCAGAAATTAGGATTGCAGTAATGAAATAAATAGCCAAACTGCAGGCCATCCTCAAAGCTCAAACCAAGACAGACAGCAAATCAGTCCCATAAGCAGCTTGACACTTACAAACTATTATGTCCTTGATGATGCCTATGATCAGAGAAGGATGTTGTTCATTACCTAGTTAATCTTTGGTGAGACTTCCAGATTTGCCTGTCTGCACACATCATCCATGAACAACCCAAGTACCTCAAGATTTTGCCAGCATGCATTAGCCTGACTGAAGAAGCCACCACCAGAAACTACAAAGGTTCCAAGACTATGGATGCTTTGGTGAAAACAGAAAGAACAAAGGGTGCTTCTTCCCCAGGATGTATGGTTGTAGGCACTATCGTGTAACCCTTTGGATCAGGATCCAAAACCATTTCACATGATATTTCTCGAGAATTGACATAATCTGTTCCACCAACTGACTCGTGAAGGTAAATGTTATAAGCAGCCCGACGACCACGAGTTTTGAGTATCCTCATCCCAATGTAGAACATCATTGAATCATGACTAGATTGATAATTTCTGAAACCAGCTGCTGTTCTTGAGAAGCTCACACCCTGAGCATACAAATGCCATATTAAGTTCAGGAAAAGCTCAAAACTAGTTCTCTTTCTACACTCTACAGTAAAAATTTACTTGGATATCTATTATCAAAATACCTGAGTTAAGGTGATGAACACATGGATTGGAAATGATGCATCTGGACCGGTTGCCCTCAATCTGAACTGGGGATTTTGATGCCATGAATTGTAGTCTTGACAGCCACCAGCACTGTAACCCCGCCATTGGCCATGGACAGAATGTCGCATCTCAGGAGGATAGACACGACATACATAGATTGACCTAAACTGGATCTGAAAATCTTGCCAAGACATCCAGAATATACCATCTTTTGACTGTTCAAGAATAAAATGTCAGATTGCAAGGGGTGTAGTCCAGCATCACAAATTATAGATGGATGTAATCAACCAACAATCCCATGACAAAGCAAAAAGAAGAGAAAGGAACAAATAGAGGACACTTAAACTGGTATTAAAGAAGATTAAGTACCTGTGGAACATGCTTAAGCTTGTGCCTGATCCTATCAGTCCATTCAGGTGATGAGTCAGACCATGGACCATTCCACTCAACTTCATTTGCCCATGGATTTCGAATTTGAACAAGCTTGTGTCCATCCACCTCTCGTACCTGGATACGAATTTAATCGGTAGTTATCATCCATTTCAATATTTCTTTAAGCTAGTAGTTGATAAGTCTGGTCAGATAGGATGAACTCCAACATACCTGCAGTAATGAGTAAGCATGCCCCTGCACAATGCCACTCGAAGAAACATGCGCATCAGAACCCGATGGACTTCCAGCACCAAGTAGGAATCCTTCTTGCTTAAAACGCAACAACTGAGACCATAATCTACCACTTGCAAGATCAATCTGTGCCTGGGAACTCCTCATGTCAATCTCTTCACCAGCTCCTCCAGTAAGGTCCACAAGAGCATCCTGAACAAGCCCACCTTCTAATGCCTCATACGAACCATGCAACTTGGCATATGCCTTCTCCAATATAGACACCCAAAGTTCATTACCCTTCTTGCTGGTAGCAAATGCCGGTTTACCAGGTGCTTCACATGGTATCCAATCATCAACAACAACAGGCACCCATTCACCCTGCAGAGAGATCATAGATGAAAATGCCAGCTTGCTGATCATCCGAACAAATAACAGGTTGCTCATAAGTTGAGAAAGCATGAACTTTAATCAACATTTCTGGCACTATTTTTTTTTTTTTAAAAAAAAAAGAATTACTGAACCAAGAAACAATCACATCAAGTGGAATTAAACCAAAGATACAATTTGATTTGACAGTACCAGACTCTATGCTGTCCAAAGTACCCAAGCAACTTATAGGCCAAATCACAATAAAAGATTTGTCTCAGTGGTCAATGAAGGCAGGCACCAAAATAATCTGACTCTTGATACATGAACACAAAATTATGAGAACAATACCTGAATACAGAAGCGAACTGTATATATTCCTTCCTCATTATATTCTGGAGTAATAATCACTTCTGCGATTCGTGAAGCTTCAGTCAAAACAGCAACGGCACTTAGAAACCAACAATCACCTAACCGACCCTATTCCATTGACCAGTAAGTCTTATTTCAGAAAGCAATCCATCAAATTACGTGTACTCCCTAAACACGATTTAATGAATTCTACACAATATTAAAAGAATGCAAATCATACTGCCTAATTAATAAACCTGACAAACATCAGATGGATTTGCAGCCCCAGAAAATAAGCATGGGTGGGATTCTAGATGGCCTTCTTTGACAATTTCAGCTGGCCTCTTCCACTCAGAGACAACCTACATTAAAAGGGCATGCGTGGGTTAGGACAACCACAAAAGTTCATGAGACACCAGTAATAATTCACAACAAGAACCTGCAACTTTGAAGGAGGATTTGATGGGTCTATAAACAATGATTGATCATTTGGAGGAAACTCATTATCAGTAAAATGTGTTTCACATCGGGCAGAGATGGCCTCTTTGAGAGCCAACTCAACTGACAGCATTCGCTGGTTGATTTCCTCTTGTGTTTCCATCCTAGGTTTCCTGTTGTACCTCCTCGCAAAAGAATCTACATGGACCACCACACCATCACGTTCAGACCTCCTTTTCCTCCCACTTGAGTATTGACCATCCCAATCAACATCATCTCTATCATATAGGTCAACATCTGCAGGGTCACTATCCCACTCATCAACCTGAAAGTGACAGAATGCAAGAAATGAACAGACTGAATAAGCTAATCCATATTTGGAGATGGATCTTAACCAAATCACCATAGACATGTATTAAATTGATGGTAGGCCATACTCTAGGGGGTGAATCTGCCCATTGCCAATTATCTTCAGGGAAATCAGTCATGTTGAAATCAGCTAAGCCTATAGCAGCATGAAGAGAAGATATCTCATCTTCATTCAAGCACCTTCCCCATAGAAAAACATCCATTATATGCATCTTAGAGTCAGCTCCTTCACTATCCGACCTCCCAAAGGCATCCATATCTATTGGAGGTCTAACACCAATCCAGACTTCTGTGCCTTGTTCCCAAATGCAGTTACCAACACACAAGGGCAAACCAGTCTGGTAGCCATCAAAACCACCATCTAAATAACAAGTTGCTTCCCCTATATCAGCATCAATTGTCATTGTCACAATATGCCACCTGCCAACAATTATTATATCCCATTAAGAATTGAAAGTAAATGAGGTATCAGATTAAAGTACAGTGGAACAACATACTCTCTTCCCAACCTAACCATATAGGCATATACCCTTCCCAAAACTAAAATCAATAGACCACAATGAGAAAAACATTATCTTGTTGCAAAATATTGCTAATGAAAGAAAAATGTCAGGACCTGCCATCTGCAATACTTGTTGCACTGATACTCCACTCCTTGGCAACAGTTGTCTGCCTGTCACCTTTAGTAATCAATCTAAGTCCAACTTGCCCAGCCTCAATACCTTGTTCAGAACCCGCCACCAGAATTTCCCAGCATACTTTCTTCTGGAATTCAGTGCCTAAGAGACAAACTGGCCCAGACTCTGGGTGGATCATCACTGCAATTGAAAAGCTAACCTTTTGACTTTGACATACACTTGGATCTATCTGACCACACTTTCTACTGCTTGTTGTTGGTTCGTCATCAAGAACACAGACAGCACCAGAAATTCCCGTCTGTCATTACCATTATTCACCAGAATTTATGAATTTCTAAACACTAATCACTAGAAGCTATGCTGTAACACTGAAGTCAACTAGATAAAAAAAAAAAAAACAAACCCGAAGTGCTCGACGAGCTAATTGAGCTGTGCGTATCCGACGTGCAATGCTTGAAACCCTCTCTCGTGCAAAAGAATCCTCAAATACAGAATCACCGCCGACTGCACGTACAGCAGCTGCCATGGCTGCTGCCTCCCTGTTGCCAGGATTAGGAATAGAAGAAATGAGAGAAGCTTCAATCTCCTTCCATTTACGTTCTTCCTTCTCCAGGAGAGCCTTTCTTCTTTCCTTACCTCTCCCTTCCTCTTCACGTCTCTGCATTAAGATTTCCTCTTCCATCTCCCTTTCTCTAATATAACTGGAAATTAATGAAGAGGGTTTAGAAACAGAGGAGGTCAAATAGCAGAAGTAGCAAAGTAAAACATGCAAGGAATGGGTACCTCTCCTGAATGATTTCAAACCGTCTACGGTCCTCTGGCATCCATTTCTTAATCTTCTTGGCACTTAAGTCTGAAAACCCTATGCTATCAAGGAAAAGTTTCAAGCGTACCTCATCCTACCACATTATGATATCTCAGTCAGGAAAAAGATTATAGGAAAGCACATTATCATACATGAAAGGCACACAGGACCATGACAAACCTGTACTCTTTCTGCCTTGGCAGTCAAACCAAGCAAAAGAAGTAAATAACCACCAAATTTGTCCCACATGTAAACCCATTCAGTATCAATTGCCTCTTCAAAAGCCAAAATACGTGCATGAGCACACATTTCTCTTCTGTAATCCACATCAGTGGATGGGTCATGCTGAAATCTCCTTCTGTATCTCATTCTACGCAAGAATGAACCAGCAACTAATTCCTCATTTCTCAGACGATCTCTCAGTTTCATGACATCATCTCTGGGAAGCACAAAGTTTCCTCCCTTATCACGTGTAGCAGCAGGGTCTCCAACCAAAAGAGCTGCTGAGCTAGCCGACCTTTGTGGAGCTGAATATGTTCCAGATAAAGCATTTCTCGTCTGCATGGTAAATAACTTCTTAATAATACAAAGAGCAGGCATTACCTAATTTAGTGAAATGATTTTTTTCCTAGAATATTCTTATGCGTTTCTGAAAAAGAAATGAGGCAAATCAAGAAAGGGAGAACAAAATTAATTCCAGCAGACGACACACCTTAGTGGCAGATCGAGAAATGGCCTGAACAACAGTATCTTTGCTAAGAAAATGGACTGCATCTTCCATCATCTGGACGATATAGTAAAGAGCACAAAATGCATATTAAAAACACACACACACACACAAACTTTCTTTAGCAGAACATGCCTATTTCAAAAATCAGATACAGTCGGCACATACCTTAAGAGTCAGACATGGACGAGAGACAGCAAATCCAAAGGCTACAACGAGTGTGATAGCTGATACAGCAGCACCAGCAAACGGAGGATAAATAATCAAGCTAGCAACAACACCCCAGGCCTCAGTTGCAAGTGCAATCCCATAAAGCATAAGAAATGCAGCACTGTTTGGAAATTGTTGTCACTATCAATGTCACTTAATGGATGCAACTATTTGGATTTATATGCATGTTGATTAAAAAGTAAAAGGCGAACAAACAAGTCAATGGATTGGAAAATACATTAGACAAAAATGAAAAATATATATATATATATATTTATATATATCTTAACAAACCTGACATTCTTCCCACAATCAGCATGAGCATCATACACATATACAGGCAACACTCTTGGAGAGTAAACTACAATTGGAGGTGAAAGAAGAACCTAAAGAAAAAGGACATATTTCAATTAAAAAAAAAAAAAGAAAAAAAGAAAGAAAGAAAGAAACTGATGAAGCAGGACAAGGAAAAGAATAAAGGATAAGATACAAATGCAAATAAAATGGTGTAAAATCAGTTGAGGGTAATCTGAAATAACTCACTGTCAATGCTCTTCCAACAAGGATAAACAGAAATGAAAAATAACCAACAGATGCTCCAACAAAAGGTTTATCTGAAAAAGAATGAAGAAATGATGTTGTAAAGGGCTTTGCAGATAAAAGCACCATAAATATGATATATGTAAATAATAGAATTTGAGTTCACCTTGAAACCATCCAACAAAAAATGCTGCCAACCCCAAAAGAAAAGCAAGAAAACAAACAATGACCATTTGTGTTCTGGTCAAATAGAAATTGTTTGATGCCCAATGGTGGATAACACCAATAGCTAGCACAATCAGGAGTAGTACTAAAAGGAATGCTGCTCCAATCTATTGGCAACTCAAGACAGACACCATGTTAGGTAGGCCTGCTGCTGAAAACCAAGATCAATCAAGGACAAAAAAAAGTCTCACTTACCGTCCAAGGCTTAATAACAACTATAACAGCAGAAATTGCACCAAGCAGAAGAAGAAGGCCAATAATAATAAACACATATACACCTCGAGAAAGTCTCCAATTATCATCTTTCCTGCAAACAATTTCCATTCTATCTAGTTAGATCCTGAAAACAATCAGTTTATAATTAGAAGCTGTAAACTTCATTATCAGGTAAATTTAGAATAACCATACAAACCATTTTAGCAACCCAGAACCAAGGGATAGTAATGCTGGAATGCAGACCAAAGGAAGAAAAGCAGCAAGAAAATCTCCCGTTGTTGGAACCTGATTATTCCTGGACTTGACAATTTCCAAATAGGAAGCACCACAAAATGACACAAGGATGACTGCCAAGAGACAAACAACAAACATCAACTTGGGTTAACGAGTCTTATATGGCCAACCCAAAGTATCTTCAATCATAAATAACAGGTGAACTTGATGGTCAACAAGATCACAGAGAAGAGAACATAGGCAACATACCAGAGAATAGTCCAACACATATAGCAGAAGAGAGGGAGAACCTATAAGCTGCAAACCAAGAAATGATCGGAAGCACACCAGTAACTACCAAAGCAATTGCAGATGCCATTGCCCAGCCAAGGTACACAGATGATGAATAAGGAGAACTGAAGCTTTTCTCTTCACCAGTCAATCCTTTGTATCCTAAATCATCTAAAGGCTTTGCAGATACCATTGCACCAAGTGCTAATACAGATCCAGCAAATACTACCATGCAAATAACAAGGACTACACCCTGGCAATGAAAATCGACGATTGACAAGGTTATTAAATTAGAATACATGAAGTTTGGTACTGGAAAATATTTCAACAGAGGGAGAGAGATACACTACAAAAATACAAACAGTCACAAACAGCCATACATCAGTTTAACGTAGACCTCTGAGAAAACAAAAAAATTTTGAAAAACCATATAAATTCAACAGAGATAAACAGCGTTTCAGGAATCAAGAGGCAGGAATGGGGAGTGGTGGAGGGCAAACCTGCTTTGTCCCAATAGGTTGATGATTTCCAGCATGACCCGCACACTGAACTCTTGGAACCCAGAATTGGTAGCCATTGTGGATCCATATAGGAAAGGCAACAGAAAGACAAGCCACCATGAGAGGGACAGTCAAGGACAATCCAAGAAGCACTGAAGATTTACTGCAAAATGAGAATGGTTATTAGTGCATAACAAATGAGCAACCTGACACCACAGCAACAAACTCAACTCAAAACAAAGCAGCAGAGAAACTTATAAGATACCATTTGCAAATACAATACAGGTCTAAAGGGAGAACTACATATCAAGCTGTGAATGATTTAATCACATTTTCAAATTCACATTTCAGAATGTACAAAAATTATAAATGCATAATTGAAATAGAAGAAATTTACAGAAACAAGATGAAAGAAAATTGTAGGTTGCATAACTATTATAGCATATCATAAAATCATTCATTTGAATCTCCTTTTAGAAAGCCACTACAGCAGCATTCAAAATTCAACAGAATCTAAAAACTTGTAATACATTAAAGAATTGTTTTTCGCAAACAATGGCATTTATGCTACAGAAAACAATAATCACAGAATGCATTAAATTTTTGAAGAGAGAAGGAAGGAGATGAAACTGATCATAAAATGGACCATACCTCAGGAAGGAAAGCAGCAATCCAACAGAAGTGCTGAGGAGCCATGCAATGAAGCCAAACTAAGCATAGCATTTTGAAACAAAGATAAGCCAGAATTAAGGTACTAGTATTCAACAAATTTATATAAAACTTGAATATTTGTAAAGAGTGCATAAAAAATAGAAGCAACATGAATGGACAACCCAAAAAAACCAATATAAATTTAGCCATATACAGTGCATCGCATTTTTATCAGATGCCAGAAGAACCAGATCAATACTCCATCCAAATGAAACAGAATGAAAATGGATTTTTCAGCAAAGATGCACACTAAAGATGGGACCCCTACATTTTTAACCTGCAATTAAGGATCCCCACATAGGGGAGAACCAGATTGCAAATCAGAACAACCACAACAATTCCAAAAGGGATGCTAATTAAAAGTTAAGACAATGAAGAAACAAGCACAATGGTCATAATAGCAATTGCATTCAGATGAACATGAAATCATAAAATAAATAAATAAATAAATAATTGAAGGTTAAGGTCTGCAACATACCTTTTGGGATTTTGATGTCATGACCATATCCTCTGCTTGAAGTGACCGAATGAAAGCCATAATTGAGCAGACAACAGGTGATAAGAGCAACACCGCAAAGCCAAATTCAAACTACAAGAATTACATTAAAAAATCAATACATGAACAGATGAATGACAAGGAAAACCAACTTCAAACTGAGATAAATTGACAACTCCAACTATCGTTATCAAATTGACGTGATCTTCACACACTATCCATCAGGAAAGAAGCAACATCCTTAGTAAAGAAAGGCCCAACTAACCTGTTGATGTGTAGCATTTATAATTTTGATTGTCTTCGGGCGAAAAATTGCCACTATTATTGTTTCAAGAATAAAAACAAAACTGAAGAGAACCCATGCTCGCTCTGGAGTGCTAGCTATATGGTGCAAGACAAGTCTACATAACTGGAGCCACCTTTCAAGTCCTTGAAGTCTCAGTTCTTCTGAGAGTGAAATTTGATTGGGCAGGGCATTATCAACAACACTATTTGAGTCGACAATGGTGATATCAGTATTGTCACGATGATCTCTATCTGCATCTAAACTACTTCTCTGCAGCAGTGCAAGAATTGTTGGATCCAAGCTCTTCTCCTTCAACATCATAGCAAAATTAGGATCCAATCCTTTATCTTGCAATAATCTAGTCAGCTCCCTGTCTCCTTGTCTTGCCCTTCTTTTAAGCAAAGATGCAATCCTAGGATCATTCAACCTTTCCTGAAATGCAAGAGCTAAATTTATATCTAACAGTTGTTGATTTGCAGAAGTTGATGTGCTAGACTCACAGCCTTGGCTATCAAGACCACTACTAGAGCAAGCCAGCAGAGAGTTACTGGGGTCAAAATTTTTATCAGCTATTCCAACTTCATGCTCTTGGACAACTGAACGACAAGAACTGCTGCGCAAGGCCAAACTTGGTCTTCCACTCTCTACGCTCTTTTCACTATTAATCCCTTCTTGAGAGCTGGTTGTTGGGCACATGGCAACACTGTTCCAGTTATTAGTGTCAATTGTGCATTGTGGCATACTCTGGCTACCATTTTCCATGACATTAGAGAGTTGACCTGCTTCAGCACTGCTACTGCATTTCATGCTTGAGCCACAACCTTCAGATGAGCTAGATGAACTATTTTGCTCCTTCCTGCGAAAACCCTCTCTTAGGCGAATCACTGTGCTCCGTAAAGCATCTCTTCTGGCAGCTAATGGGTTTGTTGTTGACAAATGGCGAGAAACAGCAGCACCTAATAGCATAGATGCCACAATTGCATAACTAATACAGTGCCCGAGGTACCTAAGAGAAACAAAGACAACAGCAGTCATGAAGATACAACAGTAACCAAAATCAGTGAGATCAGAACTAAGATCCGGGAACCAAAGATACAGACCAGTAATGAACTCCAAAACAAATGAGAAAAATTCGAGTGGTCCCAGCCACAAAAAGTGCAGCAACACGACTTTTAAGAAGATGAAAGCCATACAAACATGCCCCCATGTTCCAGTCTACATACAGCAGATATAAATAAAAGAGATTAGAACAGTAGTCTAAGGAGGAACGTAATAAACATGAACTGCTCAAATAACATATGAATGGCAGTCATTAGCATACCAAGGATGATAACAGCAGCTGACGTAATGGCACCAAGCCATCGTGCTTCCTTTGCTGTCAAACCATACAGGATAGCGTAGACAAGAAGAATGGCAAGGGAGCCAAGGTAAAGAAGTCCAAGATGTGAAGCCCTACAATGCAAAATCAAGAAATAAAAATATGTGTGAAAGACTAGGCCAATAAGGACAAATATAGCCCTACAGAAAATCCAGTGTACTCAACCATGGTTATCCACGGTACTCCACACTAAATCACCTTCAACTCTAATACCACTTTTGGAGAGAACAGGCAGGTATGGAGCTTGAATAAGGCCCAATACATATGCTTCACATCACATGTCATCTGAACCCAAAAGACTAACCTACCAAGCGGGTTCACATGTCATCACATATCATATTTGCCTTACTCTTTATCACATCTTTCCAAATTCCAATGTGGAACAAACACACCTGACACCTCACATTGAACCCAACATTGGAGAAACATACAAGCCAAACTAACTAAATATGCAGTTTGAGAACCATTTGCAATTTTGCATCATGTTTTCCAGGTAAATTAAAAAGCGAAAGAACTATGATAGATAAAAATATAAGCATGCTGTCTTTTTTTCCCCCTCAGTAATAAAAGCATACCATTAGGTACATGCCATCTGCTATAAAAAAGTGTAATTCAGCATCCCATACTTGATAAAAGCTTTGTTGTCTTAGATCATGGAAATTGAAGGGTCACCAATGACCATGCTTTAAACCATGAGAAATGACTTTACAACAAAGAAAACTTAATAATGACACATCTATTCTATCAATATCTCATAAAAATAAAGAAAACCAATGTCCAAAATATATATAAAAGTGAAAATGAACATCCTTCAATAACTTCCACAATATAAAATATTAACTCCAAAGTTAAAAAGAAAAAGGGGAACAAAGTCTTACCTACTAAATTGTCGAGGATATAATTCATTGGGGGCCGGTGGTTCTGGTAAACAAGATAAAGGGCCCATTTCAATACTATCAGAATATGCAAACTTATAGGCCCTTCGTACATACTCATCCACATCTAACCCATTCCCTGCATGGATTGATTAAGAAAAAGGTAACAAAATAAATCCAATATATACCCCAAAAATGAAAGATATGAAATAGAAGAAAAAAGGTCAACAAATGATAACCATTACTACAATCTAGTGCAGTAAGATGATTCATGACACATGAACAGTTCAGCGGTACCAACTACCAACACATTCTAATTGCAGCTGCATTATGGTGAATACCCATAGGGATAGAAATTGAACAAGACTTACCATTGAAGACCATCCGGCAAATAAAGAGCATGTTGATAGCTAAAGCAATTGCTGACACACCAAAAAAGAAACCAGAAGGTGAATATCGCTCAGATGCACTAGAGCCAACTGTGACATAAACAGCACAAAGTTCATATGCACAGAGTAGAGCAACACCCAGAAGAAGAAGAAAAGCAACAGCCCCTGCCAGAGTAAAAACATGCATAGGTATGAGATCAACAAGTGCAAAAACAAAAGATAAATATCACTAACAGAACTATGAAATGGAAAATCCCCAACTCCAAAGATTTAATTTTTAAGATGAACCACGATGCCCAATCATCTCCATTTTCCCTTATACCCCGCATCATAACAGTTTGCTGCATCCATCAACTCCCCTGGCATTAACTCAATAATATATTTACCAAGCCCATTTATATTCTCACCTTTACTTCATTTACTATTTAGCTCAAGATTACCAAATTAAAATTTTAAGAAAAATAATAATCTATATAAATTACAGAGTCTATTTCTAGTACCAAACAAAAGAATCCCCATAGAGTTCACAGTGGATAACACTGCATTTGGTGGTTAAACAGACTGAAGACAGAAGGGAGAATGAACATAATTGGTCCGCTAGAAGCAGAGTCAAAACTATTATCACGTAAGTGTACCAGGGGAAATAAAAAGGAAAAAGAGGAGCCTCAGAAATGCTTACTTGAACTTTGCCATTGAGTTCTCCACCAGAGCATGATTGAATAGAACGCCAACAAAAGAGCTGTGCCAGCCATTATGACTGCTAGACCAATTATATCTCGATCCAATATGATGATTAGCCAACAACCCCACATGATAAGCACCAAAACGGGAGATATAACGACCACCCAAGCCGAAAGTGACAGAAAACCGCAAAACATACCCAAATGAGGTCCTTGTAAGATACTTGGCCATTTTCTGGCAAAAATCCAACTGAAAAAAGCAAAACAAACATCTAAGGAAAATAAGAAAAAGAGTGATATGGAAATCAACCACCCCTCCAAAAAGAAAAAGAAAAAAAAAAAAAGAACAAAAGAACAAAAGGATAAACAATAAGAAATGAAACCAAACTACAATTTGAAATGGGAATGGAAGCATCTAGATGAATTCTTTTATTCCACCTAACGAGACAATGCATCCATATTAACTCAAGAAACCAATGTTAAACAGAAAAAGATTGGTTAGGGGGAACAATAATACACCTAAGGATCAAAACATATAAAAACTACAAGCACAAAAGAATACAGAACATTCTTACACATATTGGAGTACTACAGACGAGCATGAAACAATACTACACCTAAAGGATCAAAACCTATAAAAACTATGAACACGAAAGAATACAGAACATTCTAACACATATTGGAGTACTACAGATAAGCATGAAACAATACTACACCTAAAGGATCAAAACATATAAAAACTACAAACCTAAAAGAATACAGACATTCTAACACATACCGGATTACTACAGATGAGCATGAAGAGATGCAACATAGAGACTATCTAATACAGTTAAGAGCATAAAGGGACATATCTTTCATTCTTCAACCAGTATTTTGTTATTCAAATATTTTCAACTCTTTTGCTATTTCCAAATAATAAATCTATGGTTACTACTGCTTCATCTTTTGAGTTACTACTCTTCTTGTTTCATCTTCCCAACCACATCAAACAAATTTTACAACCTAAGAATCATTCTATTAGTAATTCTAGTTCCTTCAGCAGAAGTCTGATTTGTTTTTTCTTGTCACATTTGCATAGACACATCTATAGAAGTTTATGTATTTCCCTTTGTTTGAACCTGTGTCATTGTGTGTGTGTGTGTGTGGCAGTGGGTGGGTGGGTGGGTGGGTGGGGTGTGGGGAAGCATATCAAAACCCATCACTCATGTCCTTGTTGTTTTCTCTTCTATCATATAAACCAAGTCTAGAGAAACCTAAGACTAGAAGAAGGAGAAAAGGTGTCTATTCTACCTGATTCATGAGTGTAAGGCAGTTTAGGTAAAGATCAATAACATTCCAAAAATAAAAGAATGTAATGACACAAGCTTCAAATCATTTTGTGAAAACAAATAGTTTACATTGTCAGACATGAAATAAAGCATGTCTAGCACTAGCATACTTTATTCTTTATAAAGGAAAATTTTTTTACTAGAATAACCTTCCATATGCATTCTTATTGCCATGAACATTATCATAAACAACAAAAAGGCCTAGGTGAGGCCAAACGCAGGTGTCTCATTAATTACACATTTAAACTACAAAGCCAGCAGATTAAATCATGAATGAAATGTATACCATAGGGCATTCTCAAATTCACTTATGTAGCAAAAGATCAAATGCAGCACTTATGTACCACAACCATCTCAGATAACAGGATAACAACAATGGAGTTCAAAAGTTTGAAGAACTACCTATAAATCCGCCAGGGCCGCCAGTTAACAGCCCATAATATTGAAAATGAAGCCGACCCCAGAACGGCAGAAAGGGTCCCAGAAATCAGACACGCCAATAGAACCCCTTCCATGGTTTCCTCCTCTTACCTAGTGGCACATGCAGCAAAACCACTTTAAAACAACAGAGTATTAAAAAGGAAAATTAAAGTATTAAACAAAATTTCCCATTAAAAGAGAAATCATAATTTCTCAAAAATGACCTAAAGATACTAAATTTTGGACAAGAAAATCTGAAACTAGAAGGAACACAGTAATGCAGAGTGCAATGAAACGGGCTTTTACCTATTCAACCAAAGCAGGCTTAATGGGCAACAGCATGATGTTGAATTCAGCACAAATGGGTCATCTTATGGCGTAGAATTGGGTGTCTTCAACCAGGGCAAAGGGGTCTCCTTGCACATGGGTCCTCAAGCTAGGTTTCACTGCAGATAATTGAGCTCAACATAGGCATTGAAGAAAGATTCTGAGAGGAACATCTAGGGTTAGTGTGGAGCTAAAGAAGAAGAAGACTATTGAGGGGAAAAAGTGAGCTCCTTTAGGGTTGATCTTGGTGTCCAATTAGGAATAATTTTATCATACCTTAGAATTCTACAAACAAGCTTAAATTCAGGGGAAGAGAGAGAAAGTAAAGATTAAAAACCCTACTGCTCCTGTGAAGTAAAAGGAGGCTCCTTTTTTCTAGAGAGAGAATGTAAAGTGAATGAAACAGGGGGGAAGGAAGGTGGAAAAAAGCAATGAGAAAATGTAGGAGAGTGGTAACACAAAAAAAAAATCAATATCTCTGTCTGAACACCGATTTATCCCCACTTTCACTATCTGAGGGTGAAATACAAACTCCAATAACAACAAGGAGATAAATGAGTGGTGAGGTATGATTGGAAAGTGGGTTCAGTCTAAGCTGATGGAGAGTGGGAATAGAAGAAAATTTTTCAACATTTTTTCTATCTAGTTTTGAATTTTTTACACATTATTTGGTTATTTAACTTTTTCTTCAAGACTTAAGGGTCAATTTGTTGACTAGGATCTAAAGACAAAAAAATTTTTTGTTGATTTTTAGTAGGTGAAGAATCAAAGTGGTTCAACATGTCGATTTTATTTAATAGTTAAAGGGTTAGAGAATTGGTCTTCTAATTCTAGTTAGCAAATTATTTGTAACTAAATTTGCCACCACTATATAAAAATTTTTAGCATTTTTGTCATGATAACCTAAATATAGGCACTCCTTTTGGACCCATCTAGATGAAAAGATCATATTTTATTACACCACAAATTTAGGAATTTATCTTAAGATTTACAAGAGGATTTAGGCATTCAAATCAAATTTAAATATTTTGAGTGAGTTTTTTTACAAAATTTCTTCCAATCAATTTATAGAGATTCCACACTTATTCACTAGATTGGGATTTTAATATTTGTTATTATGGTATTTCAAATTAATTAGCATTCACTTACATTTGTCAAAATGTATTTAATCATTAAATTTAAGATGTTTGGTTTTTGTTCCATTTAACTTTAAAGAGGGAAAGGGAGGGGTTGTGCTTGGTGGGAAACCCAGATGGGCAATTTCCTGGTGAGGGAGAGAACAACATGCCTAGTGACATCAAACTATATTATCATGATTTGCATATGAGAAGTAAATTGCATTAAACAACATTCCAACAAGACCACCAAATTCCCAAAGCGTCATTGGTTCATTAAAATGAGGGGCCTCTATAGATGCCATCTATCACCATAAATGAACTGTTACTTTCCTCAAAATGAACATTTTGTTGATAAAATGATGTACTCTTCTGTAAACAACGGTACAACACTGTACCTCCATGTTTTATGCATCATTTGGGGCAAAAAAACACAAAGCACACTGCCATATTTATTTTTGTAAAAGTTAAATTAAAAAAATATTTATCAATCCGACATTTTAAGAGTCATCATATAATCCATGAGATGTCACTTTGAATGATGTTTAATTTGGTTGTCTATTGTCTGTTTTCAGAATTTTGATGGGGTCAATAACAAAAAGCCCATATTTTGCACACTAAGTTTTGGGGAATTTTGGACCCAGAAACGCCAAGTCCAGTAACAAGCAAAGCAAAGTATATGGGCTTGAGAAGCCCTTTAGCCTGAGCATCCCACCTGCCGGACTGCTTGTGCATATCTTTTCTGAAACAAACAAAAAATATTATTTTCTTTTGGTTCTAAGCTAGTCATCATTCATCAAGTTGAAGATTTTAAACAGTTTGGTAGATAGATCACAACTGTAAGTGGTTTTTTTTTCTACACACACATTATACCATGCCATATGCTTTCCAAAATACCAAACCCAGACAATCACAGCCCTCCTATTACATTACATTGCAGGCAGATGGCTGAAAGTGACAGGCACATATGACCTATTGGTTTTTCCCACATCTGAAGGTCTATGTGTCAAAACAAAATAGAAAAAATTCATTCAACTTTGGGGTTACTGAAAAACAGAGATACAATTTTATGATGTTCCAAAAGAAAAAGAAAAAAAAAAAGCAGCTTTTTTGGGGTCATGGAATCAAATTAGGAAGATGCCATGCCAGCATAGATTCAAAAGGATAAATAAATTTGTGTTAAAGGCCCAGTGATGAGATGGGGATGGTTTTTGGAATTAGGGGTGGGGTTGATGACTACTTTACAAAAAGAGGTCCACAAGAGAAAAGAGTTGCTGTCATCCACTCACATGCACATCCTTCATCCACGCAACTTTTTCAGAATAGTCCCACATTGTTCAGAGAATCATAGTTCAATGTTCATACCCCAGCAACAGAAACACACAAAGAGGAAGAGAAAAAAAAAGGGGGGGTATTAGGAAGAGATTCATCCATTCATTAACAAGCCACTCCAAGAAGGGAGCAAACAAACAAATAGAATACAGAGTGACAAAGGCCTGTTTCTTTAGGCTTTAAGAAACTTTAGCCACAACCCCAACCACTTACATGGAGGATCTTTCCACAAGTAAAAAAGAAAGTGAGAGGGTCAAAACTTCCCACCAAAAGAGGTCACATGTTGCTAATACTAACCCAAACCTACTATAGGTATACAAAAGGGAGAGAAAGGGCATTAGACTAGGTTGAATAATACATGGGATGGGAGAAACAAGGGTTAAATGGTGTTCTTTTTTCCTTCTTCAAGGGCAGTTTGCATTTTTACCAGGGCCCCCATAGTAAAAGTAATGGCCCCAATCTCCGTTGCTTCCTATTTGGACATCATAGCAGTTTGACTGTTCGGTGAAGGTGCCAAGCCCTTTGGGAGCCTTGAGATTATTAGAGCCATCAACAACCTGAATATTCCTAAAGTAACTTGATTTGCCAAAGCCTTCTTCAGGGAAATGGCCACTGCCCATTTGGGTGGAAGTGTGATGACCATCTGGTTCTGAATTCACTACCTCGCCTCCCCACTCGATCATGGAAGCACTGTCCGCCAAGTATGAGAATAAGAATGATGGCCAATAACCCAACACATAGTCATTACCAAATTGCATCCACCAGTGCCCCTCTTTTGGATCCTGCACAACGTTAGCGTATATATAAACAAATTAGCAAAGTTGAATATATTGAAAGCTACTCTAACTAAAGGGCACTTCTCTTGTGCAAAATGGGAAACAACTAAAAATAATATTGTTTCTCATACTTTGTTAAGTAAATTGAGATTTGAGAGGTGTCATCTCTCTCCTCAATTACAGAGTGTCCAAAAAGATCACGCCAGTGATTCATCTGAAACACAGTGATGTATATGTAACCTCCGTCCTCAATTATATACATAAAGGTACTGTTTTACTGCTGACACCGCAGAGAATCATGACCTTCCTTTGAAAAGGACAAATTCCACAGAAGTTCACATGAAACCCTAACAGTATCAATTTCATCTTCTTCTTTGGCTGTCATCATTCTTCAAATCCAAAATAAGTTTTTTTTTTTTTTAATTCATTCTTCTAAATCTCAATGATGTGCATTGTGACAAGCATTTTACCTTCCAAACAAGAATACTGATATCGTATTGGGAATTACGATAGGCAGAAACAGGAGATATGCTTGCTCCCATGGCTATTTCACTGTTAATCTGAATGAAGCCTGAGCATAGGAGATTATAGCAGCCCGTTGCTTGATATGCATCACTCTGTAATATATTTACAAAGAGAAAATATGTGAGGAAAACCCTATAGAGTACAAATCAAAAAAATCAAAGAAGCACAATAAACTAAGTATCAAAACAAAATCCACAAATGAAATGCAAAAGAAGAGATGGAAACTCACAGTCCAGTAGGTGAACAGCCTTGTGTTGTTATCTCCATATAGATCTGGGCTGACCTGTGTTGATACAGACACAATATCAAAGTCAGCAACTGATGTATTAAAAATGAAAATTGGGTTTCATCTCTTTGACAGTTCCATGGTCAGTTCAATTATTGATGAATAAAGTATTAAAGGAATTATTATAGTAATGATACCTGCCAACCAGCTTCAATGCTGTTGAGATCTTCACCAAAAGAACCTCCTAGAATCCACAGCTGAGACAAACTGAACTCATTGGGCTGCTGTATTTTGGGTTCCCAAACGTTTATGGTTGCCTTTGCACCATAATATTTGTCTCCTTCCACATAAGCTATTGCATGCTGATCCACATCCAAGGCAAACAAATAACAAAAGCACAAAAACAGTAAGAACAAACACATAAAAACAGTCAATAAAGTGAATTGAGAAGAGAAAGGGGCTGACTGTTTTCTTAGCCCCAAGAGAAGAGGACAGGGAAAACAATAGAAGATTCACCTGATGACCACTTTCATTGACGAGGTCAGGATCTGCAGACCTAGGCTTAGGGATGGCTCTGTGCTTCTTCCTACCATATCTTTTCACTGAGCTTGCCCTCAGAACATCTTCCTGTTTAGTTCTTCTGATGGGTATGGTTCCTTCAGGGCATTTACCATTCAAGTGCCACAGCTGAGTGATGGAGTTTGTTCTTTCTTTGGGTTTCTCAGAGACCTTGTTCTCATCAAAGAGTCCTTCAGGGTGATAACTAGGTCTCATCTAATGAACCAAGTAAAACCCACAAACCCAATCAGCAACAGTTAGAGCCAAAATTTTATGACCAGAATGAAAGATCACCAATGCATAAAAGTAAGTTGAAGGTGAATAAAGGACCTGAATCTTATGGTCTTTGAGGAAAGGATGATCAAATGCAGGCTGGTGAGCCATGTGAACACAGTCTATGATATCCCCATCTGGACTCTGTTCAATAATGAAAAATCAAAATAATGAAGTTCAAACATCTTAACAAAAGATTATACAAAAGAAATCCAGAAATTCCGTTCAAAGCTAGCAAAAAAGCTCCTAGAATACAATGAGGAAAAAGGAGAAATAGTAGTAACCAGGCAAAAGCCACCCCCTAGCAATGATGTTATCTTCCGTTTGGTTAACGGGAAAATGTATGAAAAGGAAATTCATTTTACATATGCTCTTATTTATTTTGAAAAAAATTTCGTTTTATTGCCATGATAACTGCATAAACAAAAAGGAAATCATGTAGAGAGAGAAAGAAAATAATAAGAATTCAAAAACCTAAAAACCCAGCACAACATAGAAAATTTTCCATCGAAAAATGTACTTTCCTTCACTTTCCCACAAGCCAAACAGACCATTTTTAGCGCAAACAAAAGAAGCAAAGAGAAAAGGAAACAAAAACACAAACAATTTACCTCTATGCTCTTAACAGCAGGTTTGTTCAAGCGTTTCAAGTGCTTTTGAACTTCAAGCTTCTGCCTTGAAGCACTTAGCCTAGCGGCACAAGATAGCGAGATCAAACCAGACAGCCATAGAAAAGCTAGCAACACTCTTTTCATCCTTCCCATGCTACAACGTGAACCCCCACCTTCCTCCCGAGACCACAATGTTCAATCTGTCCTCCTCTCTCTGCTTATCCTACGCACCCTTGTTGCAGGTTAGAGCTTAAGCACCATTAACTGCTATTACCGTCGTCACTGCCACAGAAGAGGAGGATCAGAACTTAAAGGCTTGAACTTTGTGGCACTTGAACTGCCCTTTGAAGTGGGTCTAACCTTGTTTCCACAAAAATCCAATTAGGCCTCACAACACAAAAACAAAAAACCCCTCTCTCTCTAAAAAAAGACACTATCTCTCTTTCTAAAATCACTCTCCTACCAGTCTTTCTTGTTGCTTTCTGCCATTACCCCTCCCCATTAAGTTTCCTCCCAAATTTTCTTGTCATTTTCCCTCTATCATTTTTCTTTCATTTCATTTAATTAAATACTGCCCCCTTATGCCTACATACGTTTCTCTATTTTAGTTGGGTTTGTTTCATATGTGAACTAAAGTCGAGGAGGGATTAAAGATATAATAAGTATATATATTTTTATAATTAATTTATATAAAAAATAATAAAAATTAATTGTGATTTTAGTTTTATTATTATGTTAATAGTTTTAATTAAATAATTAATTAAATTTAAATTTATTTTTATTATTTTTATATAAATACATTATAAAAATAGATATTTATTACATTCTTAACATAATGCTTAGATGTTATAAAAAAACCATTTTAATTTTATTCCTAATTAATAAAGCTTGTATTTTTATTTGAATAACATGTATAAATCAAAGTATTTGTCTACCCTTTAACCCTATAATACAGATTAAGAGTACATTTATTATGTTTTTTTATCATTAAATTTTATAAAAAAAACTACAAAAATAAATTTTATTTTCAATACTAATATCATGTAAAATATTTTAATTAAATAATAGATAAAATTAAAGTTATTTTTTTATTTTTATATAAACTAATAATAAAAATATACAATAAATATACTATTAACTTATACTCTTCAATTAAAAAATTCCTAAACAAAATTAAAAAATGCATCTCTAATTATGAAGACAATGTATTACCGTTACATACTTAACTCCTTTGAATTAATTAAGACAAAAACTCAACAACCTTTTTTTTTTTTTTTCACCTTATATGACAAATAACCCTTCTCATCCATTAATTCAATCAACTTGAACTCAATAATTTTATTAACATCTTGTTAAGTTGTTGAATTCTAATTATGTAAAATTATATATCCACACAATACATAAGGTTTATTATCCAAATTATGACACATGTAAATGAAAAAAAAAATGTTAAAAACTAATTTTGGATCCTAATATTTCTTTCTCTTTTTTTTTTTTTTTTCTTTTTGCACGAGGGGGCGACGAAAGGAATTAAGATTTTTTTTTTCTTTTTTGGAAATCAATGAAAGGTGGGGGAAAAAATAGTAAATAGTGGGAAAATGGGTCAATTTTGATGGGCAAAAATGCCTCACATGCGTTACTTTGTCGTTTTGAATGTGTGCGTTTTGATATTCAAAAAGGTCCCACGTCGTATTATAAATTTCCCCACTTATTTTGGCTTAATTACCGTCCATTGAATTAAATTAATAGTCTTCTACATTCGACACCTTCAACTAAATATTTTTAAAAATAAAGGAATCCGATTAGAGAAAACAATAAGAATTTATAGGAAAATGAAAACCCATGAAATTATTTTATTATGAATGAAGGAATCAATGAGAGAATCGTTTACAACTTGGCGTCTCGTCCACGATCATGTTTTTATGCTTGTTCTAGACAAAGATTCTTCTGTTCAAACACCAATCTAAAGCTTTTAAATCTAGTTTTGTTGGTTGAGATTGAACATACTACTTTACATGTGAATGGTCGTTACAATTGTAGGTAGAATCAACCCACCAAGCATGTTAAGATGCTCCCTAACAATAGTCAAATTCGTTGTTTATTTATTGAAGATGAAGAGAATAATACTTTTCAATACATTTGATATAATAATATTTATTATTTAAAATGTGTTAATAATATTTTTTTAATATTATTTTTGTAACCAGCTCATACAACATTGAAATCTTAAACGATAAGTCATAATTTTAAATAATTAACTTATTTTTATTTATATATTGATATGTAATGACAACGCAAATGTATATACAATATAATTTCAACAACTTAATTAAACATAATACACATAAACTTCAAAAAAAAATTAAAGAAACTTCACATCCACAAGAGTCAAGAGTCCAACCCTTGTGTAGAATTACATAAAAATTATGTATTATACAACTTAGATATAAAAAAAATGAGTTTAAAAAAGAGTGATTAAAGAGAATATCAGCAAAAGTAGTGGACTGATTTATAATTTTTTTTTTTTTGTTGAAAACATTTGCTCCACTGTCATGGAATATATGAGAATGAGTCAATGTTATGGACTTTGGATCAGATAAAAAAAAGGTGTCAGAATAAAGATGAGAATATAAGATCTGTCCCTGAAAAACAAAGGGGTTATAAACATTAAATACCTATTTAAAATTTTTTTATTTTTAATATTTATTTATATATAAA